GGACATTTACCAATATATATATATATATATATATATATATACATATTATTTTACACATCATATTATAATGTGTAAAATATGATGTTTACACAAGAGCATAAGAGAACAAAATTTCTAATTACAGTACTGTGTCAAAAGTTTACGGTCTGATGTATATCTATGGTATTTTGAAGATGATCGAAGATTTGAATTATAGACATTATCCATCAAAACTGAATTTTATAGTATTACGCTTTTTAAAATGTTTATCATGGATTTGTTACTTTGATAATAAAGAAAAATAGCCATGTTATTGATAAAGTTTTAATTGAATCACCATAATATATTGCAGCTACTATGTTAATTTATGTAAGATATTTTAAAACTGTAAAATACAAATTTAAAAACTGTGTATTTGTAATTGTTACAGTTGTCTAAGTTCTACTGACTGTTTTTTTTTTCAACAATGAGACACTAAATTTATCTTCTCTTATAATAGATTGTATTTTGATGTTATATATATATGTGTGTGTGTGTATATACATGTGTATATACATATATCTATATATATATATATATATATATACACATATAACTATTCTGAAATTTATCATTAATTCTCTGAAGATGTAATTATTTCACATAAAATTATGATCTTTACAAATATTTAATAATAAATAAATAAATAAATAATAAAAGTTATATACAAGGCATAGTTATAAATTTGCAAAAACGAGACTACAACATTGTATTTATGTAATGTGAAGCTTTTCATCTATGTTTTGGAACATCAAAATATATTTTAAATAAACTAAATGTGCATTGAACATGAAAATCATGTACATGAGAGAGAAAACTTGTTTTTGAAAAATCTTTGAAACTGTCCATGTTAAAATAGGGGTTCCTTTCAATTGGAATTTAATTTGTTTCCTTTGTATTTCTTTAATCTTACAAAATTTAAAATTACACATATACACATATAATTGACCATGAAAGTTTTTTACTTTACATCTACTGGGTCTGTTTTCAGAAGGAAAAATAATAATAATAATAATAATTTAATTTAAAAAATCAAAATTACACTATTTTTGTGAATTTGTGAAATTCATTTTTACTGTGATTTTCTGATTTGTGTTCACTAAATTTTTTTTCTGCAGAATAATTTTTGTTAGAAGCATGTTGATGGATTTGATCCATTATTTTTCAAGAAACTTAAACTGTTCAATAATTTACACAATATTGAATTTTTACATTAGATTTGAGTAGATCAAGGAGAGATTTGAATGATATGATAGTGTTAGTCCTTGGTTGTGCAGACCAGAAACACAACACCACACACCAAGAACTGTTTCAGAGGCTTATTAATGCATCTAGGGAGGTATACACCACCTTTGAAGTAGTGCGGGACACTTCAAAAAAACAAAATGGCACCAAGTTTATACAAATCTCCTATGTGATCAACAACTCTTTTATTCCTTTAATAGCCACTGTCTACAATCATGTATATAATTTGAGTTCTTCTAAGGCTCTGTAAAACTAATGGTACTATGATACCATTGCACAAACTTCCTATCAGTGGCAAAAGACACAGCATCAAGATCTTTTTGATTATGTTTAAGTACCTAAAAAATTTCCTAAGCACCGCTCAATGTCTTTTTTTTTTTGTTACAAAGCCACTACTTGTTACTACACTAACTTCTACTAGCACAACTTTAGTTGGTAAAGCCACTAATGTCACCAATGGCATTGACAGTTAGGCTTTAAATGTAAATTATTTTTACTCTTTTTTTAAGGTTTATATGATTATTATTTGACAACTATCATTTTTAATGAAGAAAATAACAATAAAATATAGTACAATCATGTGTGTGTGTGTGTATATATATATATATATATATATGTATATTATTGGAAAAAAAAAAAACCATTATCAATCTATTGTTGTTTTTTGATTCATGAGATATGTCATTAAGTCTTCTAATTTAGTTACCATGGTACAGTTTATTTGATTTCTTCTTGTATTTCTTGTACCGTTTGACACCTTTCCAATTTAACATTTTAGCAAAGAAAATTACTTGACTTAGTACTAAATCTATTCTTAATTTAAAACTCATCTTAAACATTAGTATTATAAACTATTCACAATATACTATTGGCATAATCATATTGATGAAAAAAACATGATAAATGATATTTTAGAAAATAAAATGAGAATTTGAAAAAATAACAATTAAATAGTAAATTCAATTATCAATAATAAAAATATTTATGCAACTTGGATTGCCATTATATATATATATATATATATATATATATATTTGTAAGATAAAAAGGTTTTAATTTATAAACAACAAGATTGGAGATTCCTTTGATTTTGCTTAAACTTATTCTTATTTTTACAAGATTGTAATGTTACTTCCTATCAGTTGCATATTTTTTGATAGAATGGTAGTTTAATATTCCGGATAATTATTTTTGCATAACCTTCTAATAATTTATGTTTATTCTTATGTTTATGTTTAATTTTAGTTTATGTTTAGAAGTTTAACTTTTTTAATCAATTAAAAAATATCTTAAGATCTTTTTTTGATCTTTCAATATTTTAATAGTTTTTGTGGTTTTATTATGAATATATATATATATATATATATCAATGTATATGTCAAATTCTAAAAACATGTATTGTATCAATTTAAGAATCACAAATTTGAGTATATTAATAATATTTTCTATTAAAAAATGATATCAAAATTTTTGTTTTATGAATAAAAAATTAAGTACGAAAAATTCTTCTAATTTAATTTTAGATTATCAAAATTATAATATTATTTAAATAAAATATCTATAATTACTAACTTTTCAGAAATAATTACTTGAAAAAAGTGTAAAATTTAATTTATATATAATTCAAAAATAAACATAATTAATTATTAAACAAATTATGTTTCTTTTTTCTTTTTTCAGGAACATGAATGTGAATTTGTGAATTCACATATCATCTACAATCATTAAATGGAATAAAAAATCAAAGACAAAAAAATGTAATAAAGGTACATTACATTTAAATACCTGAAATGGAATAAGAATGAGAAATTAAAGATTAAAAATGGCTCGTAGATGATATATAAAAATATAATGTTAATTTTTTTTGTTTAAAAAATAATAATAATATAATAGAAAATCAGTATATTCAATTGAGTGGTTGAATGTGGAATTATTTTTGTTTTTATTAATTTGGTTATGTATGTATGTATGTATGAATATATAAATAAATAAATATATATATATATATAATATTATGGTAAAAATCATTGCCATTTTCCACAAAAAAATTATAAAAATTAATTATTCAAATATATTAATTAAATATTAAATAAATAAAATTTAAATTATAATAATATTTTATAATAAATATTATTTTATTTAAATTTAGTAATATTATTCAATAATATTATTTTAAAATAATAAATTTAATTAATAAATATTTAAAATAATATTATTAAATTATCAGATATATATAATTTAATAAAAAATTAAAATTTAAAATTTTAATTATTCTTAATAGTTAGATAAACAATCTAATGCTCATGTCTGAGATATTTCCCACACTCTTCACTCTAGGCTCCTCTTTTGTATGTACTGCCATCCTAAACTATCTTGATAGATAACAACTTTGAACATAATAGTATTGCACAAAGACTCACAACATTCTAAAGCGTCCCATGTTTCCTATTTAAACCTCAATTGACACTATTTTCCTCAACAAAAAATGAAATAATATCTATGTTTAAATCTCAATTGGAAAATTGAGGTTGGATAAGCAGCGTCTATGAAGCTTTTAAGAATCTTTTCTAAAAAATATTATGAAATAAATCTACTTTTACCTACTTCTACTTAATCATATAGATGAATATTATTGTAAGTATATATGTTTGTGACAATATTTAAATAAAAAAAATATGATTTGATATTAGTAATTTAAGCTTTTGATTAAATTGGTCATATGTAGAAGAGTTCCAACTTTAGACTTAGATTGAATTATATCAAGAATTTCCATCAATTGAGCCTTGCCATAATACAATATGAATCCACTTTATAAACATGCCACCTAATACATAGCAAATTTACCAAGCAAAAATAAATATATAAAAACATTTAAACAACAAAACGATGCTAATCACACAAATATTTCACATTGTTTATAATAATAGCCAAGTTTAAACAGATCAAGTTACATTGAAAGAATTAAAACATCAATGCTAACTTGAAGAAAGTTAAGAGTTGATGGAGGGAGTTGCTTGATGATTGTTGACTAACTCAAAGGGAATTGCCCAATGGCTGTTAACTAATTCAAAGAGAGTAAAGAGTGAAATCCAATTTTGAATTACTTTTGATGATTTTTTTTTGATAAAAACTATGAGGCATGCAATGAATAAGAAAGCTGATTTGTCCCATGTATTTGTCCCCTTGAGCTGTTTTTATATAAGAGAGATGTGTGTGTCTGTGTGTGTTCTAGGGTGGATAACATGTGGGGGAGTAAGAATAGAAGGTGGGGGGAGAGAGAGAGAGGGGAGGAGCAGAGAAGAGAGACAATTTATGGGGGCATGGCTCTCATTCTGAAGTACACTGCACTGCACTCGCTTTTAGGGAAAGAGAGATTGAGAGAGCTAGAGTTATACATGTGTGCATTGTTCCCTCCCTCTCTCCCCCTCCGTCCGTATCTGGTGGTGTGATGCTTTGCAGAATGGAGGATGTTTGAATGAAACTCGTTGATGTGGATCAAAATCTTAACCCTTATAGACAGACAGATAGATGAATAAATGAATGAATGAATGAATGAGAAGTTGGATTCCTGGGGAATTTCCGTGGAGGGAGGGAGGGACATTTTTGCGGGCTGCCCGGGCGGGACAGGACACGACAGGACAGGACGGGGGCGGGGCGAGCGGGTATGACACGGGGACCAGGGGGGTAGGGAAGGAGGGGAGGTTTTTGACCGGCCATGGCCAGAGAGGCAGCAGCAGCAGCGATGACACAAAGGGAGAGGAGGAGAAGAGAGGAGAGCGAAGAGAAGGGAAGAGAGTGGGGAGTGAAGGCGAAGACAAAGGAGAAAGAGAAAGAGAGACAGAGGAGGAAGTCGAGCTCGAGGGAGGGAGAGAGGGTGTCGTCGCCCTTTCGTCGCTTGCCTTGCACTCTCTGCTCAACTGCCACCGCGACTAAGCGTCTGGTTTCGGCTTTGTTTCAGTTTCGACTCTATTTCCCTCAATAATGCAGCGCGCTCATGAAGTTTCTCCCCTCCCCCGCTGCAAAATTTCTCCGGTCCTTTTGTTCACCAGATTGTGAGGAAGAAGTTCTTGTGACTCCCTAACTGTAGCCGAGTCGTAGTTGCGTTTAGTGCAGGATTCCATTACCCGAGGGTTACTTTTTCCTCGGAGATAGCTGGCGAGAGAGAGAGAGCGAGCGTGAGAGCGAGAGGTGTAGCGGTAGGTGGATAGAGACTGTGTCGCGCAGATGAGTCGGGAATTTGGGGAACGTCAACTGGTGGTTCGGTTTTTGTGACTTAACCGCGGGGGTGAGTGACGACGTAGAACTCTGACTTTCAGTCAGCGTGTGACGCTTCCTGTCTTGCAGAGGTCGAGCTATTTTGGTGCTTTTGTACTGTGGCCTTGTGAGATGTCACTAGCACTTGAAAGGATTTGGACAAGTTGGTCTCCTTCTCCCAAATTATCTGAGACCACTTTAGAGAGAGTTCCTTTGGGAGAGTTCTGTTGACGCTTTTGTGGCGTTGTGATTACTTATTGCAGCGTTCGATGAACTGCGCTGTTTGATATACGAGGGCTTTTAATGTTAGCTGCGGTCGACAGCATTTAGTGATTACCGCTGCCAAGGAATGCTGCGAGTGACTGCACGCAAAGCCATGTTGACCTCAGCAACCTGTCCTGACGCTCTCCTTCAGTGGGAGAATGCGATTGTTGGGTTGTCTTTGCTTCCGCCGTCGCATTAATATGCAGAATACAACTCGTAGGGTTTTTTTGTGTTACATACGACGTCGTATAGCATCTAAAAGCCGGACATGATGAATGTCACTCAAAATGAGATGGACACAGGAGCCATTGCAATTAAAGAATATCTCGAAGATGGCAGAATTGAGAAGGTTATTCAGGAGCAACGAGTCGTCGCTATTCAGGTTAGTTTCCAGTGTACTCAAACTACCATGGCAGACTTGAAGTCCTGGCTAGGAAATTGGTTGAACCTTTTGGGGTTCGTACGCATACTTAAATGGTGTCAGAGGCAAACATGTGAAGGCTTGAAGTGAAATGAGCAATTGCACCCGTCAAGAGTTTTCGACCCTTCACCAATCCGAGGGCAAGATAAATAGATTTCATAGACGACTTGTGTCGCTGTTCGGTTGGTCCATGCGTGTCTGACATTCTATGATCTAGTTTGACTTATGGCGACAATTATAGCTTCTGTGTCTCGCCTGGTTTCCCATTTTTACGCTTAGTGACAAACTGAAGTCCTTTGAAGTGTCTCTTTATTTTGGACATTATTGTATATTTCTGAGCAGGTAAATGTTTCATTGATTTTCGCTTACGAGCGAATCGTACTTGAAAGGATACTAGAAATAGATCTGAAAGCAATACCAAGATAGCTGCTCTGTTCTTCATCTGTTTAACACCAACGATAAACATAATTCTCATCGTGTTCCGGTGACGCATCCGATTCATTGTGCGAGGTTATTACTGCACCGTGGCAGACTCTAAGCCTCATAGTTTGCAAACTTACTACTGGAGGGGGAGGGGGGGTATATCTATTCTTCCGGAAAGCAGTGTAATCGTTTAATCAAAACTCTGACGACATTCTTGTGAAAGGTAGTCTAGTTGTAATGCTTTTTTCCACAACCAGCTTGTTCCAATCATGCAATACCACCGCGTTTCGCGACATTGATTCTCAGTCCAGTTACGTATGTCCATACTTAGATATCTATTGACCCAATACAGTTCTGCTCGTTAGCATTTCACCGGACTTCGTATCTCTTCTTGTCTTTTCTTTACTTCACCCCCTATTGGTTTTCAAGTTTTGTTACAATTTCTCTAGTTCATGCTGGACACCAGCCTGGGAGTCTTTTTTTTTAATTCCGGAGTGAACTACTCCCAGTATGAAAGTCAAAATGTGTAAGAATGCCTCGTGGTTCTGGAAAATCATGCGCAGGAAAAGAGACTAGATGCGGCTATTGAAGAACTGTTGAAGTTGGAAACCGAACTGCGAAGTACCTCTGATGCTCGAAGGATCCAAAGAGTGGTGGTTTCTATTCTTCAACTGTGTTACGAGGCACAGGCTTGGAAGACGCTTATTAAACAGATTCGGTTTTTTTCTCAGTGTCCGGACCAATTAAAGCAGGTGAGGATGATGATTTCACGTCCCTGCAATGGGCAACTAATGTATTTGCATTTTTAAGTGTTTTGGATTCAATCGTTCTTTGCATGGACCGCATTCCTACGACTAAATCTCAGCGATGTTACACGTAATGGTACGGGGATGACGAGTTGTTTGACGAGTTGTTTAACTGTCTGGATTTTATCAGGCTGTTATCGCCATGGTCAATCAAGCAGTGTCATACTTAAACGATATACATGATCCCGAAATCAGGATCGAGCTCGAAGAGACTCTCAACCATGTCTCGTCTAGCAAAGTACATGTTTCCACAATCTTCATTCCTTTTTGGTTTAGTTTGAAATTGCAAGATTGCGCATGTTAGCCCTACATATTCTATTTTGTTGATCAATTTACTTTTTAGATAACAACTCTTCTCATCGTGGGTATCATGCAGGGTCTGCAGAATTTGTGTCGGTATTCGCTATCGACTCCGCTCGAGGGTTTGGCTGGTGATCGTAAGTCTCGACTGGCAGACTTGAATATGTCGGCGCTTAAGTTGTCTTGGTACGAGCTGCCCTTCCCTCCTCGGTTACCCGATTGTCTTCAGTGGGCCAGAATGATGTGTGTGTTGGCCATTTTCTGTACTGAAAAGCATTGTTTCAAAGGGTAGCAAGATTTCACGATCTATTCCGCAGATTTCCATACTGATTTTTCACCTATCCTAAAATACAGTGAGAGCCGTGAGGAGCGGGGCCAAGCCAAGGTTGAGGAGCGGGGCCAAGCCAAGGTTGAGGAACGAGGTCAGGAGCTTACAACTCCTGATCATGAAAGTCTACCAACCACCCCACCTCACAAGCATATCAAAGAAAAGGACTCCGCCCCGTCATTATGCAGAGCTCCCCGTAAGAAAAAAACCTACCTTGTAAGGAAGCCCGTAGGTGCAGTGCGTCGACGCTTGTTTGGTCAAGTACCCCCCGCTGATGTAGAGGATTTCCTATCTGAGTTGGAGCAAAGCACCCAACAGCGATTTATAGACAGGTTAGAAATCATCGCTTCTCCACTGTGTATTGGCAAAAATTACCGACATAGCTTGTGAGAACTAATAAATAGTCTGTATACATGTGAACAGTCATGTAAATGGGCAGACTTCAACTCATAAACGAAGGTTGCATGCAGGTACAACTTCGACCCTGTGAAAGAGAAACCTCTTCCTGGTCGGTTTGAGTGGTCCCCTTTACGGCTACGGGAGCCACATTATACGAGACCCACAAGCAAGGATTCCAGTACTGACATACAGAGGTCAGAGTTGGCCCCTTTATTGTCAGCATAATTAGTAGATGGGGCTATCTACCGGGTACCGTTATAGCTGTACTACCTAACCTTTCCATTCCTGTACTGGCTTTTCGTCGATACAAGCATAACAGGTTGTCATGCAAGTACAATATGCAAATCACCACCCGGTAGTATTCCCTGCAACGGTTTACTGCAGCAAAGAGTGCATGACCTTTGTGCAGTGGACAGGGAAACGTTTACTGCTTGTGCGTAGATAAAGTGGTTGGATGCTGCTATCGATAGTTTCTCCGATTAACTTGCTGTACCTAAAGCATAGTAAGTGTACAAATCTATAGGAGGATCTGGGAGTAGGAACTGATGTGGCTGCGAATTGCCGTCCCTCTAGCTCTCTCCGTCTCATTCCTTGTAACAATAGCAGACATTGCGAATTACTTAAATTTGTGGCAACAGTAATAAGTTGAAGTAGCGCACGACACTTCAGTGGGTGCGCATTCAGCGGAGGTAATGGAGATCGCGGGGACTCGCGTGTTACACTACCGAGCTCTCGTAAAGCAAGGACCACATTCTTTTACACAGATACTATAATCTTTGTAAATCTTTGTAAGTAGTTTTAGAGTTTAGGCTCAGATTAGATTTGTACAGCACTAAGACTAGTTACCATTCTCTTCATTTGGATATCAATCAAACCATTTACACTCTCGGTGAACATGGTAGTACTCAGCAACCTGATAGTTTATTCAAATAATGTGCTCATTACTGCACGAACTCTTTAGCAGGGGTTGTTCTTCTGAGGTAATCAACGACGCTAGCTTCAATATCATATCATTGTGTCTTTTCTTTGTTCTTCTGTGCTGAGTATACTGCTCGTCGTCTGGTCCCTCGTCTACCGTTCTGTGTTCTGTTTCTGTGCAGCTAGCGCGTACTTCCACGTTTTTACTATTTCCTTCAATTTTGTTGTTGCCTCCATTGTGCTGTAGTCAGCCTATTCTGCCGAAATCCCCACTCAGATTTTGCGTTTTCCACACTTCATACCGTGCTGCGCCACTCATGTTTTAGTGTCTAGCTTTGGGACGCTCACGGAGTAGTTAAGTAAATTGACGAATTTAGGAACGCTCCAAGAAAGAACACGAGGAAAGAAGGGACGGCTAATCAATAGCGACGCGCATGGGGGGTTACAACCGGCAACAAGATGGATGTGCCCAACCACCTATGGTGTGCCGTTTCCTATGGGGGGGGGGGGGGTGGGTGTCGCCTCGATTTTCGCTGCATACAGGAGGCAATGGGAGCGAAGAGCACAAGGGGGTGGGTGGGTGAGTGAAGAGAGTACAGACACAGCTGGCGAGGAAACAAACAGGGGAATATGTGGGAAGGGGGGGGGGGAGGAGGAGAAAATCAGCGCAGAGGAGGAGGAGGAGGACGAGGAGGGAAGCAAGCAAGCAAGGAAGGAAGTCAACTGCAGACAGCTGCAAGACACACAGAGAGAGAAAGCGAAAGCGTCTGAGGAAACGAGGTCCTGGTTCAGCCTGGATGACATGGCATGGCATGGGTGGTTTGTGGAGTCCTCCCTCCCCCCCGCCCCCGTTAGGCACCACAACGCAGGGCAAGCCCGTGATGTACGCGCGGGGGGGGGGGTGTGGGATCATGGCAAGAACGGGGATTGCGTTCCACCAAGAACGGAGCCGGCGCGGACAACGGGCGGGGCGGGGAGGGGGGGAATGAACCCCTCCTGCCCCCACGTTCCCTTTCACACTCCCCTACCCCCAAACGCGTGCTGGTTCCGAGGGGAATATGCTCCCTCGACGACGATGACGACAAACGCAAACTTCTTCCATTTATCATAATTAATTCATCCATTTATTATAATGCATGCATCCATCATCATCATCGTCATCATCCATCACATGGGCTGGGTGGGGGCTGGGTCGCAGGTGAGGGGGGGTGGAGATGGGGGGATTGTGGGGCCTGGTTGATCTTTGGCGAAGTTTCTTTCTTGCTCTGCAGGATTTGGAATTGGATGGATGTAATATGAGGATGAAATGAATGGATGGATGTGTTTGGTTGATTGATTGGCTGGTTGGTTGGTGGGGTTAGAATGTCTTACAACTTACTAGTAAGTAGTACAGAGTTCTTCATTGCAATAAGTAATCCCCCCCCCTCCACACATAAACCTGATTCCAGTTCCTTTGAGTACGTACGTACGTACGTACGTATTTTCTCTGTCTTGTGTGTGTGTGTGTGTGTGTGGTGGGGCCATCTTCAAATCTTGATGTGTGTACTTGTGTAACTGGGAAATTACATGTTCACACTGAATTTTTTTGAGATTGTTCAAACTAAGAATCTTTGTGTTGTAAAGATTTTATCAACAGTTATTTTGAAGCATGGTACAGTGAATGCAAATCTATCCATGCGAGAAAAGAAATAATGCCAAGACAACACACCAAACCTTTGATATTACGATATGCATAAATAACTTTTTAAATCTCACAATCTCTGATTAGTGTTACTGAAATCCTTATGACTTTTGAATTTTAATGTAAAATGAATTAGAATTTCAAAATTCTCAATAAAGTTCTTACATTATCTTCGTATTTAAATTTTTCAATACAACTTTTTGTAAAATGAGATTAAAACGTAAAATGTATATACATACATACATACACCCAGACAAACACATACATGCACAGATTTATTATTTATTCCTTGAGTAATTAATTATCTACTGTATAAGTGGGTTTTATGATTTCCTGTTGCACAAACATGCCCATTGTAAATTAATCTTGTGTATCAGTTCTCAAAAAAATAATTAATGAATTGATATTTAAACTACATGAATGCCCATTTTGTGTTGAAAAACTTAATGAAACAGTTTGGTGTTAAGATAAAATTCTTGAGTTGATTTGCTACAATTTGTACAAGCATATCAACATAAAATATTATGCTAAATAAAAGGAAAATCTTGGATCTATTAGAAGAAGAAGAAGAAGATATTTAGAATTCTTACATGAAATTTCTATCAGAATATGTCTTAAAATAAGATTTTTAAATGGTTGAATTGTTTGGTATTTTTTTCAATGTTTTAATAAATTCGGAATATGTTTTAAGAATTGATCGCATTCTTGTGAGATGATTGAATTCATCATGAAATCGATTAGAATTTTTTCTAAAAAATAATTTGATTTACGATTTGTGATTTTGAAATAAAAATAGAAACAGAGTAGGTTCACAGAAGAAAAAAAAAAAGTAAAATTCCAAGTTTTAACATTTGAATGGATATGTCATTAAATTACTTATATACTTCATTTATGCACTACGAAGTGGATACCTTAATAGTTCAATCATTACTTCTCAAGGCATGTTTTTTGTCATTGTAAAAGTGAAAATAAAATATCTTGTACTGGCAATGAATCATTTATAGTCACAACACACATGTGGTCGCATTAAGTTATATCTTCAGATTTGAACAGCACTTTTCAAACCACTAACAAACACACAGACTTTGGATGTATGTGGCACATGACCCATGCAAAGGAATGTGCTGTTAGAATGCCATCCCAGAGAGAGAGAGTTGTTGATTTTCCACAGGAGGCAGAGAGGCAGCACCTGTTGGATGAGTTGCCAAAGGATCCATTGAATGGTGTGGTAGCAATGCAGCAGCAGCAGAGAGAGTGAAGAGGCAGGAAGGCAGTACTTCCCAACATATACATATTCGTACAGCACACAGACAGTGCAAATTGGTGGAAGCAAAGTGGTGCAGAATTGGGGCTGGGTTGGGTTGAAGAAGAGATTAAAAAGGGCATGAAATTGAGATAATGGCAAAGAAAAAGAATCTGAAGAAGGGTAGTGGTGGTGATGGTGGTAGTGGTGGTGATGGTGATGGTGGTAGTGGTGGTGATGGTGATGGTGGTAGTGGTAGTGGTGGTGGTAGTGGTAATAGGGGTAGTTTTGCAGATGCAGAATTGGGCACTGAGATGGGGAGCTCCTGCTACTTTAAGGAGCCCAGTGCACGCCTCACTGTGGTGGAGGCCCAGGGAATGCAGCTCCACCAGGAAGGCAACCTTCAGCAAGCCCTGCTCCTGGCCATGCAGGCAAGGCACAACCCTAAATTCTAACCTGTTTCTGATTTGCTTTACCACCCATGCTTGAAAATAATACAATAACAACAAGAAGAAGAAGCTGTGGAATTAGAACTGGAGTTTGTTTTATAGGGAGTGGCAGGCTAAGTGGAAGCGAACAGACAGTGTGTGTATATCTAAGTGAGTGGTTCAGAGAGCTGACAATTTCCTCCTGACCTGGAATAAATAATCAGCAGCAATTGGCACTTGCCAAGCTGTGCTGTGAAGACCGGGAGCTTGCGCTGGCCAAGGCCCGTCTCCACCTCAGCAATGTCTATTATGACATGGTACCCTGCTCCCACAAAACCCCCCACTAATCAAAAAGACTTGGTTAATGAAAACATAAGTTAGTCAAAAAAAAGTCATTTCAATTTTATCTTTGACTTGACATGAAAAATATCTAGATTTGGTCCCAAACATAGTGTTCTTATAAACTACTTTGAATTGTTCTGAACCTGTTCTGTATTTGTGTTAGTTTTTCTAGTTTTTTTGATTTTGTTATTTTTATTATTTCAATGGAGGCCACCTTCTCAACATAATAATACTTTTAGCTGAGTAAATTGAAGAATGATGTAAATTATCATCTTCATAGTTTACATGAGGTAAATCAATACATGTGTAAGCCAAAAAGTGTAGACCCTCTTCTTGGAAGGGATGGGGGGAGGGGAAGGGGAGGCAGATTTGTCTTTTTTGTTTTTTTATGTTATATGTGTGTGTGTGTGTGTGTATATATTGATTTATTGTTTCAAGATATTGATTTATTGTTTCACGATATTGATTTATTGTTTCAAGATATTGATTTATTGTTTCAAGATATTGATTTATCTTAAAGTAATAAAAAAATATAATAATCACAAATATAAAAACGCTTTTTTTAGTCTTTGACTTTGTACCTTTATGGAAACACAATGTTCACTTTTAAAAAAAGTGAAATTGTTTTCTTGCAAAAGGCTCTTTGAACATTTCTGACTTACACAGTTCAAATTAAGGTTCATATGTTGAAATGCATTTTTATTTGAATGTAAAATTACACTTTTTGAGAATTTTTGTAAAGGTCTTACATGTCATGAGTATTACAATCCATTAGTGTAAAAACATAATAATAATAAAAAAAAACAAACAAACAAAAAACAAACAAACAAAATAAACTATAAGAAATATGAATTCCTATGCTTAATTTCATGGTGATGACTTTGTAGGGTCTTGGAGATCAAGCACATTTCCATGCACACAAGGTAATTTGTCTTCAGTTAAGACACGTTCCACTTCAATCTGATAATTTTACTTGTTTATTAATTCATTATTTTATTTGTTGTGAAATTCTACTGGGCTTTATTTTTTTTAATATCCAATGTTCACTATATTCTGTATCTGCAACAGTAATGAAAGTATATACCAGTGTTTAATCCATATTGAGTAATTTGGTTTAATCTATTATGTTTTGATGAAGTAAAAGGGAAGTAGTTAAAGTTGTTGTGCATGGCTTAACAGTGTGTGTGTGTGTTGGGTTCTTTTACAAAAAGCTAAGTTATTGCAATGCTGGTGAAGGCAATAGAAAACATGGACCTTATTAAAATAGGTGAAGATATGAACAATGAGATGACAATCTCCATCCTTGTAGCAGATGCCAAGGCCATGATCCTCCGTAGAATACTCAACCCCTTTTACCCATACACATTCACATTTTCCATGCAAGTATTTAATATTCCATTTTAAGATTATATCCATGCAGAAGGAAATACAATTAAAATTTAAAAAATATTACACTGTACAGGTGGTGATCCTAATTGTGTGAATTATCTACAAAGAGCTTTGGTGATGAACCATAAACTTCATGGGGTTAATGTATACACTCCTACCATGTTTTGAATCGTGGGTTTTTTTTGAAGCTGCAAAATCATGCTTTGTTAAACCACATGACATTTTCAAAATCCTTTTTGGAACTTAAGTTATATAGCAGTAACAACTATGGTGAAATATGTGTTTTTCTTTTTTTTTTCTTTTAAAAAAGAAGTTAAATATCAAAAAAAAAAATTTTGGTCAGTGATTCAACTTTTAACCTTTTTCAATTTAATGTGGTAGCATGATTCAAACTTTCAAATTCATGAGGGATTTGGTGACTTCTATGTGAATCTTGGAGATAGTAGGATGTTATATGAAGAAACCCAACTAAAAAACAAGAAAGACAAAGACAAGATCAATAAGACTGATGATTATAGCAAAGCTCTAGATGAGTATGCTACGGTTAGTCAAACTTTCATTGAATCAAATATGTACTGTGAAATTATTCTAAATATATATATATATATATATATATATATATATATATAAATGTATTTTAACCTTTTGATTTATAAATCAAACCATTTATAAAATCAAACAAGTTCCATCATATTCTGTGATGTAGGCTTATGAAAAAATAGCAGGTAATGGTAAAAAATCAATTGCATTTCAAGAAGGTGGATCTAAGGATGCAAGGCTGGGAAACATGTTTGGAAAAGTAGCTGAGGTTTGTTAATGGGAAACTTCTGCTGACATGTTTAATTTAGTTCAAATTGCAAATGAGCATTAAGGAAATGCTTTCATAAGGCATTGTGTGTTACAATATGGCTGTAATTTAAAAAAGAACCCTTGGTGCTAATTCTTCCTGCAAATGTTGAAAACTTGAATACTATGTAAACAAATTTGATTTAAAATTTTCTTTTTTACTCATTTTATCATTTTAGTGAAGCTTCTTAGCAAGCAAGGTAAAGAAGAGGACGCAGCTGTTGTATATGAAAAAGCAATAGCTTGCTTGAAGAATGCATCTCCAACAAACAACTACAAACTAGCACAAATGTACTACAAATTAGGAGTTACTTATCACAAACATAAGGTATAATTTTGTACTGTTTGTCTACAACTCAATCAATCATGACATGTAAGAACCTATAAATATATATAAATATATAATTATAATTATTTGGATTTTAAAGTGTGTTTGAATGTTGAATGGTAGAAATATGTCCGTTCAATGGCATCCTTACAAGCATCCATTGAATGGTGTAAAGAAGGCAACAAAGACCATGAGCTTCTTTTGTTATTGGTAAAAAAACAACAAGCAATTTCTTTGTATGACAACAATGAGGTTAACAGTGCCAAAGCTAAATTTGAAGAACTCTTGGAACTCGAAAGGAAAGAATATGGAGGAAGTAGTGTTATTATTGCTGAGGTAAGCATTTCTTTGCAACCTTTTTTGAACCATGTATTTCATTTACATGGAGCATTTCAATATCATGTTTCTCTACTATTGACACTAGTACAACAATAATTTAAATTTTATTGTCACAAATTTACTCTTCCAGTGCTATATTTTGCCTTAATTTTTCTTTTAGACAAAAAATGGTTTTTCCATTATTAAGTATTTTATATAGGTTTTTTAAAAAAAAACAAAAACAAAAAAAAACATTTGTTTCTAACAACATACTTAACATTGAATTTTATTTTGAGCCATAAAGGTTTGATTCCACTATTAAATTATTGCAGACTTTGAAATACTTGGGTGATGTACATGTGGCATTGAAAGATAAGACACAAGCAGCAAAGCATTACAGTCGTGCATTGCATATCTTGAGGAAACAACTGGGACCAATTGACAAAACTGTAAAACAGTTTGAACAATACATCAAACAACTCAATCTATAACATGAAAAGCATTAAAAAGAATGCAAAACCTTGAATGAGTTTTGAAAAGATTTAAGTTCTTTCTATTTAATCCTTTTCTTCAAAATATTGATTTATTTCCATTAATAATTAGTTGTATTTATTCATTATAAAAATCAAGTGTTTACGTATCATCATCATCATTATTATTATTATTATTATTATTTGTTAATTGTATTCAATTAAAAGCAATCAAATATCTCTACAAAATACAATGCTTTGAGCACATTATAACAGTTGTTTTTTTTTTTTTTTTTTTTTTTTTTGCTAATATTAATGAATTTCGATCATTTATTGTGCTTTTACAAATGGAGGTGTGTTTATGAATGAATGAGTATAATTTTACACATATGGTTTCTACAAAATTGGATGTTGCATATGAGCTGGTGTTTTGTTGACGTGTTCAAAATTTGATGCCTGAAGTAAATATCTTTATTAAAAAGAAAAAGAAAAAGATAAACCTGGTTTTTATATGAATGTGTATATGTAATTAAATTTTTAGTTGGAGGAAATGCTGCATTTGTAACTTAAGATTGTGTGTAATTTTATGTTTTTCATCCATTACCCTGTTCATGTTAAGTTAGAAACCATTTTACATTTACAAAATACAATAACAAACGACTCAGAAGAAAGTCACCTGATTCATAAATTAGAAAATGAAATCTAGAGTTTTCGAATAAATTTGAAATTTTGATTTATTAAAGTATTTAATAAATATAAACAAAATAAATATAAACAAAATATATAATTAGAAAGTAAGATAGATAAATTGATTATCTTTTTTTTAAAAGTATGAAAGAAATCTTTTTCATCAACAATACTCTGTTGAGTAAATTATTTGGATTTTGATTTTTGACAAGTTGAAGCCTCAAGTATACATATTTTCATCATTGGTTCATTGAGAATTGTGATCTTCACTTGCATGACTTTGTGATACTATACTGCACTTGAGGGTTTGTATTGACCCATGTGTAAGTGAACTTAGTGCTAATCTTTGTAGATTTGCATGGCTTAAGACAATAAGTTCCTACATTTATTCTGGAACTTTTTTTTGACGCGGGTGTTTATAATATTTACAAATCTAAATTTATAACTTTTAACCATGTATTTGAAATAAAAAAATATTGGCATTAAATTTTATTTTAAGTGGTATTTTTTTATACATCTTTCATGGGCACATAATGAATCTTTACATTTTTCCAAAACTTTCAATGTTTTCTTGGTCTTTTTACCTTTTTCAAAATTTTCACCTTCTTTAATTTGGTTTGTTAACTTTTAAGTGTAATGTAATGTAACTATCTTCAAAAAAAACATTGATTAACATCTACTGTTCTTTTAGAAAATTAACATTTGAAATATCGTAAATTTATACAGGTGTGGCAGAGCACATGTTGCCCTTGTAACAGAATAAACAATGAATCATGTTCATTTTTTATCTGTAATACGCACAATTTTGACATCAAACCAATTACCGGATGCTCTTCGAAGAAAAATAACAGCCTTGAAATTCTTCAGAATGGATACATACATATGTTTGAGTCACAACATTGAAGGATTGAAATTCTTCGACACCTATTGATCAACATTCAACACAGCAAAAGTGTCCACAACTCAAGGAAACACACTGGAACAGTAAAACTGGCATTGTGGAGTCTACTTTAAGGGAGATTTAGGGTTAGCACTGGTTGGTCCCTTGCCCATGTGGTCTTTCACAGTGAAATCCCTCTTTTGGAAAGGATTCCTGCCTTGACTTTTATAATACGTATCTGCGTACTCAGTAATCTCACACATGCCCTTGGGGAACTGGAACAATGGGTGCTTCTTGATCTGGAAAAATATCACATGAAAAATACCAACTCATTACGTTTGCACCACATGAATGTCTAGTAGCAAATTTATATCCGGCAGAATGCATTCAATCCAAAACACCCATAAACTCAAAAATACAACGTAGTATTCCGGAGGTGGATATAAATGCATGGAAGCAGACCATTTCATTTGATTTGAGATGACATGGAAGTAAATTCTTTTTACCAAAGGCTTGCTGTACCAGCCATAATCCTGAGCGACTGTGGCTGGCAAGTTGTATTTCTCAGGTGGAATTTTCTCTCGTTTCTTAATTGGATCCACCTTCTCCAACAACTTTATAGCCTCTTCGTATTCTTTCATCGTTACTGTTCCCTTTGCACAACCGCAAGGTTAAATTAAAATTGTTCAGGATGACGAACCCACTAAGATACTTAAATGGACTGATCAAATATATTACCACTACAAGTCACAGGAATGAAGCGTCACATGCTGGGCATGTCCATTGACTTCTCACGAACACAGGGCGAAACAATGAGTAAAACAAACTTGCCTTTCACATCGGGAGTTGTGTAATTAGGTTTGTCAGGAATAATAATCACTGCACAGATCAATAACCAAAGCCGGTTTAGTCAGTTTCCACTACATGAACACAGATGGGTCTGTCTAAGCTTGAATCGAATGAAATTTAGTAAGCATCTTTCCCTCCTAAGAACAAGTGATTGTTGCAGGAATTGTACACATCCTTGAGCCAGGTAAAGATTTGAAAGGCATGCATTCCTTGCAGCAAAGATTCTTTTTATCATCAGTTCATAACCTGCATCGCTCTCTAGCAAATCCCCATTTTCTAAGAATCTCCAGCTCCTACAAACTTGAAAAAACTCTCCACAGATCATGGAAACAGAAACTATCTGTTAAACCATTATCCAAACCACACTTCCTGCATTGACGAACTTGATCAGGATTGGGCTTTGATTTCTTTTAAGGGTTTCTGAACGTCGCAAAGAGGGTGGCTACATTCGATGATTGGGTTTGTCTATCACGTTCCAGAACTGGCTATGGGTGATCAATCCCAATTGGTCCCATGCTATAAAACTCTTCACAGAAAGAAATTAGCTGAAAGTGATAGGAACAAGACGCAAGAGATGAAACCAAAAACAAGCATTAAATTTCAATCTCCGCTTCAAGAGAATTGGCAGAAAAAGGGAGGACGAGGATCAAGTATCACAGTACAGGAATACATAGGGTACTTACACTTCCTAACATCGAATTGGAAGGGGCCCGTCTTTCTTTCCATCCTCTCAGTCTGGTTGCATATATCCGCCCAAATTTTGTTCGCAGATATTGGGTCCAACGGAGTTTTCTTTCGGTACTGCTTCTCAGATGTTTTTAGAGGTGAAGGGGTTTTCGGAGGCATCTTGAATGCTATGGCTTTCCTTTTTTCTCTTTCCTCACCAATCACAGCATCTCAAGCATCATTACAAATTCCTGATTACACATACATTTTTTTGATTCCGCATTCGATGTTCTCACATGCTTTTGCAGGTCAATTGTTTCTCCTTTTCATCAATCTCTTGCCCCAGCATTGCCTTTATGGCACCGTAATAGGGAAGTTTGATTAATAACAGAGGAGGTCGCACAACCCACTACCAGGCGTCTTCCTGAACACGACAAACAACATGGCCAATCTTGATAAACCTAAGAATATCGAAGATTGAACTTCTGCTGAATGACCCTCGCTTTGCAATTAAATCTGTAAGTGGAATACATTTATAATACGACGAATTGTTGCCGGACCAGACCTGCAAGATGGTATGCTTCCCCTACCCCCCGGGCAATACAACCGTGGAGGGAATGAAGTCGTCCACTTCTAGAAAATTCACAACAGATGATATATCAGAAGGTTGCAATTAGCAACTGTCGGAGTCGGACCGTGGAAGTTGGAAAGGAACCAAGAGGGTTGTCTGACCACAAGATTCTCATGATTCTGCAACCACGAAAACAACTGGCTCCAAGTTTCACAACAGTAGGGGCAGGAAAACCTAGGTCTGGGGTTGAAAGGAAGGGATCACCTGGCTATCTGTCGGAGACGAAAGATAAACCTCCGCCATTCCCTCCACCGAACTAACGCAACTGTTCATTGATATCCGATCCCTTCTTCTTCTTGATGCTGAAACCTTGTAAGAGGCGCATTTACATGCAATGAACAATGCACCTCCGACGACCTACACAACGAGTGATTAACAATAACAATGTATGTAGTTAGGAACACATTCTTGCACCAGGATTGGACTTGAAATCCTTGAGGGGCATACTAACCGGAGTGTAAGTGCTCCGTCAGACTGATGATACTTTGAAGTAGCAATCATGGCACCACCCCTGGATAAATACCTTCCGCCTGGCTGCAAATTTGTGCCTTCCCACGGCCCCCGCAAGGATCCCATTGTCCGAAGTCCACGACATCGGCAGCAGCATTGTCGATCAGACTCCCCAGTACTGCACAGCCTACCCTGGAGTGGGGCGTCCTCTCCATTCTCCCCAGCGACGAGTCCATTATGCTCTCCACCAAGGAGAAGAATTTCCCCACCGAGGAGAGGAATTTCTCCACCGAAGAGAGGAATTTCTTCGCCCAGGAGAGGGAATTCCCCGTCAACGAGTCAAGGATGGTCCCCACCGAAGAGCCGAGCAAGCTCTCCCGTAAAAAGCTGTCCTAGCTCCCCAGCAGTATCCTATTCATGCTGCCGGAGTAGACCCGACGGGCCGTGCTCCCCGCGACGGATCAGTCGTGTCTGCTCGCCCACAGCGGGCTACTCGTGCCCGAAGCCTGAGAAACCCCGATCCCCCACACATGCAGGTCCTACTCCTCACACCCTCTGCGCCTCCCCTCTGCATCGCATTCGAACACCCAGTTTGTCCCCAACGGCCAATCGATCGAGTCCTCGCACACCATCCAGAGTTCGTCATGAGAAGAAGTGGGACATGGGCGAGAGCCATGAGGGACACCCCGGGAGGACCTTCGACGAGATTGCATTCAAATTTCAGCTCAAACCTCGCAGACCGACGTCGGGCTCACTGGAGGAGAAAGCTGTGACATCATATTGCCAACTGAAGGAGGGCCACCAGGTGCACCCTTATGGCGATCAAGGGAATCTGCACGCACTCAGCGCGACGCAAAGCTGGAAGTCCACTCGCCCGTCAGGTAGGCACTCCGCTCTGCACTTGCCACTGTCGCATCTTTGCCTTTGTGATGTCCCTGGCAAGGCAAGTGAAACTTTTGAAGAGTCGTCGATATGGTACCGACAGGGAAGTGGTGAGAGTAGTGTGGATGATTGAGAAGGGGGGAAGTGATGAAAAGACGATAGGGAAATGCCAGGGTGGAGGGGAGGCCATGCATCACGCGGGGGTTGGGATCCATGCATCCAGCGGAGGGGGCGCCATGTGGTCGTAGCCGAAGTCTACTTGCCCCCGCCCAATGCCAGGCCCTGGCCGCACCCGTGCGTGAGAAACAGGCCCTCCACCGTCGTCGCCCCGCGCCTGTTTCCACCCCAGGCCAACGAGGAACCTGCTCAGGCCATTGCTGTCACCAAGCTCCGTCCACTGGATCCCCTTGATCGGGATACCGATCCCCTCCGCCAGGCGAGCGTTGCTGCCATTGATGTCGCGTCACGAGAGAGTGCAGGCTGGTGCCCAAGTTCTCCCTCGCCGCCTGCTCCCACTCCCTCCGCATCGGAGAGTGCTGCCGGTGATGCCCTTCTGTTGCCGATGGCCAGACCCAGAGAGAAGGCACACTCCGGAAGGGTAAAGGAGCTCTTCCTCTCCCCCACCCGACTCTGACATCTACTTGTTTCCTGTCTCCATTCTCTGTCCACACTGCATCCAGAATTCTCTTCGAGCTCACATCTTCGCTGCTGTATTGCCCAGGCTGAGATCATTGTGGTCAACCACTTCAAAGTCAAGGATACCTTTAAGTTTGGGAACATCCATGCCAAAAGGATGACGGTGGTTCCCCCTGCTTCAGTGGACTTGCACAGAAAGATTCTCGAGGTTTTGAAGGTTCGAATGAAGGAAACATTCGGGAGCATACCCCTGCTGGTTTACGATGGCAGAGATTCTCTGTACAGCAATATGGCCTTCCCATTTGGGACGCTCTGCGAGCGATATACTCCTTTGCCCTCATTAAAGTACGCTCATCCTGTTTTGCTTCTGTCGCCTACTTTTATTAAATGTAAATCGAAGTATCTACTTACATCATTCACATTATTTTCCTTGGTCTTGAAGCATCATCAAGGATGCGTTTTTTTTTTTTTTTTTTTTTTTTTTATGTCTTTTTTTTTCTCTTTTCAACCAAATCAACAAATATTTGAGCAAGTTTAATTTCTTAATTTTTAAGTAATGGCCGTCATCCAAACTGCTGAAGAGTGGAAATTCGTAATTACACAGACAGCAACCGCCACACTACGATGTGAAACTGGAACCCAGAGGGCCGTTTCTAGGCAATCTATTGCAGAAGTACATCGAGGGGGACGATATGCTTAGTCTGCACGAGGAGTACATCAATGCCCTGAGAGTCATAATGCAAGAGCACCAGCGCAACAGCAGCCGAGTGGTGCAGTCCGGGCCGTATGCGTACTACCCAGACGCGTCCTACACAACCCCAGTCAACAAGTTCCTCAATTCGTGCACGGGCTTCTTTAAAAGCTTGAGGCCAACGAAGCAAGGGCTGGTGTTGAATGTGGATGTGGCCCAGTGCTGGTTCTTTACGAAGGATCTCATATCGAAAACCATCCTGGACTATGTGCTGGAAATGATGGCCAGGGACCGGCAGCTGGTGCCCAACAAACAGGCGGAGCTTAGCCCCCAACAGCGGTGAGCATCCACTTTCTCTCACTCACCGACTCACTTCTTCTTCAGGAAAATGTGTTCATTGATGGTGGTGTGAGAGGGGGTTTGCTACTCATGTGGTGGGGTTGTGTTTCCTGATGATTCCGGCTTTCAGGGACTTCTGTCTCAATCTTTTGGTGGGCACGAAGGTGATACTGGATTATTACCCTGGAGAAGTGGTCAGGAAATCCAAGGTCGAAGGGCTGTCACATTCTGCAACCAGCAAGCTCACGTTCATGAAACAGCCTGAGAACGTGGACAATGTGCGTGTGACGGATTACTTCAAGGAAAAGTACGCGAAGGAAGTGCAGTGGAAAAACTTGCCCTGCCTGATCCTGAAATCCACCAATGGGAAAGTGTATGTCCCTATGGAGCTGGCCAAGCTCTCACCGATGTCGAGGTTTGTGGGACAAGGAATCGAGCGCGGTAAAAAATTCGATTTTCATAATTACTTGAGGAATCCGGGTGCGAGGTGCAAACGAATCGGTGATATGATGGAAGAGAGATACTCGGTCGACATCAATCGTCACATCAGGTGCATTAGTCACATTGTTATACTACCATTTGTGCTTCTGTTGTGCGAAACTATAATGAGAAAAAAACGCAAGTGACCAGTAGTGAATACGATCTCAGCCGACGCTCCCATTGTGTGTGTGTGGTGTTGTGCTGCGTAGTGATCCGTTTTGTGCTGCCTTTGAACTTGGCTTCCAAACGTCGATGACGGAGGTGCAGAGCAGGGTGTTGAGAGCTCCGATAATTCAGTTCAAGGATGGGCAGGAGCCCGTGGACCCTGGAAGGGTTGGGTTCTGGGCGTGGAACCACAAACAGGCCCTTCAAGGTTCCAGAATCTGTTGGTGGGGGGTGTGTGACTTAACTGGAGGGAAGTTCACGAAGCGGACCGAGTGGATCCATTTCATCACCAGGTCTTCTTCTTTTTCTTCTTCTTCCTCACTTCCTCTTTATCTTCCTCCCTCCCTCCTTCCTATTGCCCAGTCCTTTCTCTGCTCCTCGGTAGTAGTGTGTAAGATTGTAGCGTGGTTCCGAAGGACTAACTCTTGTAACATCATGACTTAAATTAACCAAAACTATATCCTTAAATACCGTTTTACCATGATATATATTTTGGGGGGAGTGTGGTGGTTTCTTATTGAGTGCAGCCGTGCAACTGAGATGGGTATAAAACTGCTGAAGCCCATGACCACAGGCAGGGCCCATGTCTGCCACCTAGAATCTCTGAACACCACGTTTGCGTTAATCCAAAACGCCATCCCCCAGGGTGAAAAGGACAGAGGGGCTTTCTGCCAGTTGATCCTAGTGATCGTGGACGGGCACCGAAGCCCACTGTACAACGAGATCAAGTACTTCGGTGACATTGAGAAGGGTGTTCCTGTTCAAGTGGTCAACTACTACCCCTTGCAACAGAGTGCGTTCCTCCACTCACTATGGCTCCCATGTCTTCTCCTAATCCCCCACCTCGCTACATCTTTCATCTCTTCACAAAGAGTAATTACAAGTGCAGTAAGCAATCCTGTGAAGGATGACTCAGATCACAGGTCTATTGAAGAAAAACACTGAAAGAACCCATCATCATCATCCTCCATTAGAAATGTTCCTTGAACCAAGAATCATAACCAAGTTGCAAATGTCTATATACTAAATTGCAACAGCATTGAATAATAACAAACAAGAGTGGCAATAAGAACAATAGGTTGGGTTGGGTTGGGTTGGGCTAAGATAGTGAGTGAGTGAGTGCGTGGGTGGTGCAGGCTACCTGGATGACAAGTGCTTCAACAAGACGGCAGCCACCAATCTGTTGCTGAAGGTGAATGTCAAGTGTGGGGGTCGCAACTTCCGCCTCCACCAAACTCTCGACCATGTCAGCAACCTCTCCAGCATCCGGAACCGCACCTGCATCTTCCTCGGGGCCGATGTCTCCCACCCTGGTGTCGGTGACCACGAGGCGCCGTCCATCGCGGCCGTTGTGGGAAGCATCGACTGGCCTGACTCTGTACGTTTCATTGCTCGCCACAGCGCCCAAAAACGATACACGGAAATAATCCTCAACTTGCAGGAGCTCGTGTTAGACCTTCTTCGCGAGTGGCACCAAGCTAATCGACATTGCCTTCCCCAAGTCAGTGTATCCTCTCTCTCGCTATATCTATATCTACATATTCACATATATCTACCATCACCTTTCTTCTGTTATCTTTGAATTTTTCAATGAAAAAAAAGAATGGTTTCCATGATTTTACTTTTCCTGGTCGTTGAATGTATGCATATTTTTATTCAGTTGTACCCTTTTACCCTCGTTAAGGTGATTATATTATTTCGAGACGGAGTGGGACAAAGCCAATTTCAAGAGGTTCTGGAGAAGGAGGTCAATGCAGTCAAAGACGCTGCCCGTCAAGCCGCAGTGGAGCTCAGCTCCATGTCGTCGTATGAGCCGTGCATTACGTTTGCGATGGTGCAGAAAAGGCATCATACGCGGCTGTTCAGGAGAATCTGCGACAGGAAGTACACCAAGGGCTTGTCCAACACTCCGTCGACGGCTCTCTCGGGGTGCCGGGATCTGAACGTGCCTCCTGGCACGGTGGTGGATGATAAGATCGTCCATCCTCGCAACTTCGATTTCTACTTGTGCAGCCATTCGGGAGAGAAAGGCACCAGCAGACCAGCTCACTACCACATTCTCTACGATGGAACCGGATTCAGGTATAACAAGTTGCAGAACCACCTTCATTGCCTTCAATATTCTGTTTCTTACACGATACAATGAAGCGATCATCTATGTTATCAAGGGTGGGAGGCGAAGAAATGCTGAGGACAGAGCTTCTTTAGACACTAAAGATGGACACAACAAGAGAGAGAGAGAGAGAGAGAGAGGACACTAGGTGCTGATGGACTGCATGCAATCTGGTGACTGAGGGAGGGAATTGGGTGGGGTGGCAGTGCAGATGACTTCCAGAACCTCACGAACAAGCTGTGCTACATGTTCGGGCGGAGCACGAGAGCCGTGTCTATAGTGACGCCGGCGTACTACGCTCATCTGGCGGCGTGGAGGGCCAGAGTGTGGTACCAGGCCATGAGGCAGAAGCGAAGCAGCAGCATCAGCGTGGGAGGAGGAGGAGGAGGAGAGGGAGGGGTAGGGGGGATTCGATCCCATGACTCCTACTATTCGGTGGTGCCCCCTAGCGTGCACCCCCGGCTTCGTCTTCACATGTATTACCTATAGCCCTCCTCCTTCCCTTCCAACTCCTAACTCCCCTCAATTGGCTTCACCCCACCTTCTATTCACAAGGTAATCCACCTCCTTCACTCTTGCTTGCAGTTCTCTACTTTTGCTTAATTCTTCATATTATTATTATTATTTCTCTTATATATATGTATATACATAAGTTTTATTTAGAGCTAAAATGCATGTTTTTTTCATTAATTTTTTTTTGTGAATTTATAGTAATTGTAGCTTCTTTCTATTTTCTTTATGCATATATAGGTGGTTTTTAATGACACAATTTGATACATCGAATCTAAATGGATAATTTCATGTAAAAAGAAATAAAAGAAATTATTAAAATATTGATGAGTTGGAATATAACAAAATATTCAAATAATAAATCTAAAATATAAAAAGAGTTTTTTATATTAAAAAATAAAATAAAGAATTAATTAAAGAATTGATAAGGTTGAAGATGAACTTAATCTTGATTCTAGTGTATTATCTTCAAAAATAGAATCTTGTTCTCAAAACTTTATCAATTTGTTACATACTCTGATAATTATCTCAAAAAATGAGAAATTATGTAAAATTTATATTATTAATTATTCAATGTTAATATTAACTATTTTTTAAAATTTTATTTTTAAAATAGTAACTATATCGAAATTCAGGATTTATGATATCATATGAAATCAATTTAAAGTGATATTTTAAAATTGGTTCCTTTTTTTTAAAAAATCTTACAATTAATATCTTCATTGGCTAAAACATATCCAACAAATGCAATTTCTTCACAATTTTGGCATCCATTCTATTTCTTGAAAAATACTAGATACTTAAACCTGGTAATATATTTAAAATAAAATATAAGATCAATATTTTGAATCGTCTTATTTTTTGGACATCCATAAGGGAACATTATGTATTCTCACTTCTCATTTCTTTTGTATACCTACTTATTATGATCTAAAATAATGATTTTTCTCACATTTGGCTTGAGAATCATCTCCACATCCATTAGCACCAAAGATCTTATTACCATGACAATCAAATCACAAAATATGAACAATATGTTCCTCTACTACATACCAAAATTATATTATTTTTAATATAAAAAATGTTAAAATGACTCATCTTTTTACTAAATTGACCCACCCTATTGTGGGAAACAAGAAAGAATAAGGGAGATTGGAATGAGAGCTAGAAATGGGGAAGGAAAACAAGGTTGGTATAAAGGCTACAAAAAAGAGGAAGTAGGATTAGGAACAAGGGGGATTGGAATGAAGGCTATGATTGTAATAATAGTTTTTGGAGATGATCCATTTCTCTAATGATGGTTACAATACGATGGACTGATTTAGTAAATAAGTGGATTATTTTGATATTTTTCTTTTAATATATATTATGATTTATAATAATATATTATTGTATAATTTTTAAAAATGTAAAGTTCATCCAAGAAGTGTACAATAAAATTTAAATACTCATTCAAACTAAAATAAAACAGATACATCCATTTATTATTATGATTAAGTTACAAACAAATTGAGTTATTTTAACATTAAAAAATAATTGAAAATATTCAAATTTTTATCAGTAAAATTCAAAATATTGGTATGTATGTATGTATGTATGTATGTATGTATGTATATATGTATATAAAATGATGAGTAATATGCTAGATTTAAAAACATTCAATTTTTATAATTGCTTTTTTGGATATCTCAGCATCATTCCATTTATCATGTATCTTTCAATGTTAATCCTTATTTTTTTACATTTTGTTTATTAATATATTGAAAATTAAAATTGATATAAAATATAATACTTTTTTAATAATATGCTTATAATTGTCAATGCAGGTTTTAAAAACTATCTGTTTTTAAAATTTTAAAATTGGTTTTTCCATTACCTTCAAATTCTTAAATTATATATATATATATATATATAGAGAGAGAGAGAGAGAGAGAGAGAGAGAGAAAGAGAACATGTTTTAACATATTCTATTACTGAATGATATTCAAGAGCTTAATTTAATCAATCTATCTGTCATTCTAGTTTGTTTATTTATTTATTCACTTACAAACTACATTTACGAAGTAATCCTTGATACAAATAGTGAATTTTTCTTCATTATATATTTGATTCAGTGGCTTAAACATTTTATTAATGATATTCATTTTCGTATATTCATTTGAAAACTTAAGATTTTGTCATTTATTTATTAAGCAATGACTCTAAAACCAATGTGTAGGAGAAAACAAGTACTCCTGAGAAACCTAGAACACTGGGTATTATCACACATGTGAGTGCCCATGGATTGCCACATGTAATGCTACCTAATCTCACTTGAACAAAATAAATTAATGAAATTATCATGAAAATTGAACCAATAATTGTACCTATTAAACATGTCCAAATCCCAAATTGCAAGAACTTCAAATTCACCAGAGCAGTCTTTGTATTTTCAATGCTTTGTTGTGCATTGCCTTTGAAATTGAATTACATGAAAAGACAGAAGAAAAATCAAAGTTAGTACATTTCCTACAAAAATCCCATTTTATCAATGCTTGCCATTTTTTTAACAGACTTATAAAGTACAACTTGCACATACAACTACTGTTTTACAGGTACAACTTCAGATGATTCTTTCATATCTATTTTACAATTTTAATAAAATTGTTAGAGTGGAAGAATACCAAGTACAAGTAATAGTTTGAAACCATGTGCAACCATGGTAGAGAAAAGAAAGAACCCAAAAGAAATAATCTCCCAAAATACAACATTCCGGTAAACGTCAATGGTAACATAGCAATCCGGCCTCGGAGGAGCAAGGGAAGTAGAGACTTGCATTGCAGGAAGAGGAGGACTGAATGCATAGCCGAGAAATATGGCAATTGCAAACCATGTGTTCACCTACATATTATTTGCATATTCTTATGTTACTTCATCTTTCTTCTTTCTGTCAAAGCATATTATTATTAGTATATTTATTACCACATCCATGATGGATGATACAAGTTTTGTAGGTTCTAATACAAAGTAAATTATTACTCGATTACACCTTACATACATGCAAAGCTGCATTATAAAGCCACAAAATAAAGACACATATTTTGACCACCAGATAAACAGTTAGTGGTTTTTTTAATGAGAAAAATAAAAGAATACAAATGATGAATGTAAATAATAAACATTTATATAAAAAAATATGATAATTTTTCTCTTTTCCTTTTACCACCTAATATAGCCATTTTTAGATTTGTATTAAATGTTTGCAGGTGTTTATTCTCTGAGTTTACTTAGTTCTCTCCTTTTTTAATTTTTTAATTTTCTTTTTCTTTTTAATTTTTTTTTTGCAATTACATCATAAAAATTTGAAGAAATGAAACATTACATCATTTAGTGAATTGTGATCTATTCTATCATAATCATAATAAGAAATTTACTAATTAAGAGTTATTCCAAAATGCCACATGAATGTGAATAAGTTATAAAAAAATTAAAATATGGTACATAATAGGATTCGGAAAAATAAATAAATAAGTTTCAACCATGAATTTAATAATTTACTTGAAGATCATGCAAAAACATATCAACACTCACAAAGATTATACTCAGACAAAATTTTGAACCACTTTTATTATTTATATATATATATTTTAAAGAAACAAAAGGAAAAATAGAAAAAGAAAAAAGATATGAGAATTAAAGAAACTGAATAAGAAACTTCATTAGATTGTTACTCACTTGTACCAATTCATCTAAAGTAGTTACATGAATAATGGTTTTATCAGGATGAAGATGATTGTCATCATTATTTTCAACCTCATTCTTAACCTCATCATTTTTATTGCTTTGTGAGCTAATATCAAGCCTGTAATGTTGTAAAGCTATGGATTCAATCATTAATTGATGAGATTTTTATTTGTATTCTTCAAACCTCACAACAATTTTCACTGTACAGAGTATAATGAATGTGTGATTATGAAATGATTTTATATCAAAGAACATCACCTTTTTGCAAAATCTTTCTTTCTGGGTAACACTTGTGGAACATGATGTTTTGGTATTAAGGTGTTGTGTGGAGCTATATTCACATGTAAAACTGTAGCGGGGACATCACCATATTTTGTGCCAATCTATTAATCACATTATATCACCAAGTCAAAAATACAATACTACTAATAATAATTCGCTATGTACTTTGGTTCATGAATTTATGACGTTTTATTTATTTTATTATATTTTATTTTTACATTTATATTCTTTTTCTTTTTTAGAGAGTACTTACAAGTGAAAAATGAAACATATAAGTTCCCATCTGAGTCAATAAGTGCTCCAATTGATTGCCTTTTGTATTGAAACAATATAAACCTTGCATTCGTTGCTTGTCACATGACATAGCAATTTTGTTGTATATAACTCTTGCTTCTTCATCCATTTTTGTCACACTTGTTTCATCCAACACAAAGTCCAAAACTTTCACCTCTAAATGCATTGCCAATGATTTATCAACTACATTTGTTACACAAGACTCTTTTGTTTCATATGGGTTTGATAGTCTTGCCCTCACTACAGCTACAATTTCTTTTGGAAGTTGAGATCCCACATTTGTGATCTTTCTAGTTGCAAGAGTCTTCATTAACAACATTTGAGGCAATCACATAATTTTTGTCTAATTAATTCAAACCCATACATCCAATAATTTACCCAATATAGAAACACACACTTATATGTATGTATGTATGTATATATATATATATATATATATATTCATGGATTTGAAAAACAAAACAAAAAAATCAACATATTAAACACACATGCCAACCACAGTATGATTTTATTTTTAAGAATTCAGAAACTTGTTTTTGAATACATTCACTCTGCAAAATTACTACTGCTAATATATAGTTTTGCACCAAAAGATCAAAGAAACGTACTCCTTTTCTGTCAATTGAGGATATTCTGTTTGCATTCAAAACTTCAACCATGTAGGGAGAATCGTTTTTATCAATATGGTTGTTACTTGCAGAACATATCTTCCCGTTTTTAATTTGAAACTGAACATTCCCACATATTACACATGCAAATATTGTTAGGTAAAAAGTAGAACAAATAAGAGAAATCCATTAAAAACATAAATAAAACACAAACAATCAATTTGATTTTATTTCAGTATTTATTGATGAAATCGATTACTCTGCAAATTATTGTTATTGTAAAAATTGAATGATACATTTTACCTTTTCTGTGTAAAATATAGTTAAAGGAAGCTTTGTATTTTTGTGTATAGTTGGTTTTGGAGACATTTTTGTTGAAATATTCAACAATCTCTTTAACTTTTAATGAAAGAAACTCTAGTGTGAGTGACATTCAATCCATGAACTTGTTACATTGTGCTGTTGTCCGTGAGTGTAATCCTTGTGTTATCGAGCAATTTTTTTATTTGTTTTTTCATTCTAAGAAATTATACAAGTGTTTGATGGTCCCCAATCATTTTCATATTCTGATGGATAAATAAAGAGTTTTTTGATTCAATCAAGTTCACATATATTTCTCTGATGATTTGGTTTCTAAATAGTTGAGTATTGTTAAAGTATGATGACGAAATCATACAACACCCGAACAGATGTAATTGAATATCGTTACAACAAAAAACACGAAAAAACTTAATAGATGATCTTATTAAAAAAAGAAAAGAAAAAAAGAAGGCAAATCCCTGTATTATTAATGAGTACATCATCAAGTTTACAACATGATTTCATAAAATTGTTTTAAAATCCTCTTGTTTTCGAGATGTGATTTTGATATTAGTAACATGTACTATACTGATTTCACAATTATCAAAAGAAAATTTCCTTATTAAAAATTATTAATATTCTTTAGAATATAATTTTAGAATATATATATATATATAATATATTTATATATTTATATATATACATTCTAGAACCGAAATATTTCATAATATAAATGCATTCTTTATTGTATAAGAAAAATTTATTATTGTTGATTTTTAGTTAATGTTTTTTGGTATTATAATGTACGGATACATTTATTTCATGCAAGTGGTGTTAATTTTTGAACGCAATAAGTATCCACTATATTTGCAATTCAATATCTGTCTGTTTATATGGCATATAAAACTAGCGCGTAGTTTTATTTTTTAAAAATCATATGTAGCATCAGGTTAGACATTAAAAAAGCATTCACGAGACAATTTTGAAAACCTGTACTGCACTAATTAACTGAAAGCTATAAAAACAAAATTGGACATTTAGTCTATGTTGAATATTGTAACTCTATTATCAATAAAATCTGAAAAAAATGAAAATTTTCAAGACTTCAATAGCTATGGCTTTCAAAGATCAATTGAAGCAATTATTATGTAAACATGGTAGTGTTTGATTCAAATTGACAATATATGTATAGCATAATATCTAAACCATAGAAAATAAAATTTAGCTTGTCCAATCACTATAAGTAAAAACTAGAAAAAAAAAGTCTTAGCTCTGTACATGGATTGAAACAATTTTTTTGAAAATTTTGACAGGGCTGATAATCAACCCTGCTGAAAACATGTTTCAGAATCAAATTTTTGCTTAGGATATTATTTAAAATATTCAGGTGATGGAATGAGGAATTCCACTTTTTCAAGTCAAATTACTTGTGAATATCAATTTTATTCATATAATAACAAGTGTTCTTCATATGTGTAAATAAATATATATGTTTGAACCATTTTCGGAATTTTTTTATAGATCATATATGTCATCAAAAAAACAAATCAATATTTAATTTTAAAATTTAAATTAAATCTGGAAAGAAAGAAATAATTATGGAAGAACATCTAGATTCCATATATGAAAAAAAAAACAAAAAAAAAAAAAAAAAAAAAAAAAACAAACAAATATATCAACTCAAACTATGTATGTGTGTGTGTGTATATATATATACATATATATTAACTAAATGAACTCAAAATTTTATACCCTAAATTTTTTAAATTATTATAAGCAAAATATCATTTACTGAAAAATCAATAGTAATTACAGTTAATTTAACTAAATAGGTATGTATATTTCTTATGCAACCTGGTATCAATAATTTAATATTTTAAAATTATTTTTATGATATATATATATATATATATATATATATATACATATTCATTGAGTAAGTGAGTACTTTTCTAAAAACTTAATTTATTTTTTATTAAATTAAATGATGTATATTATAAGTAAAATTGGATTAAATGAATAGTAGATTGAACTATTGAATTGATATTTTTAGACAATGAGAATAGTTGTCTTCTTGGACTTTTTGTTCATATATTGATTGGAGGATATCCTCCTACTCAAAAATTATATATTTAATCCAAAGATAAAAATAAACCTAATATATATATTTTTAATTATTTGAATAATTAAAAACCTCTAATATCTAATACTTTTTTAATAATAAATGTCATCAATTAGTAGAAGAACAATAGTAATTGCTAAATTACAGATTTTAATTAAACTCATATATAGATATTTAAAAAATTCAAATTTTTATATAATTATATAAAAATAATATATTATTTATGATACGATTTTTGATTTTACACATTAATCACTTTAAATAATATTTGATTTGGTGTTTAAATTTTTTTATATAAATTATAAATTGTAATGTCTGTGATATAATTTTTTAAATAAAATAAAATAAAATAAAATATTATTTATTCTTGGAATTTTAATTTTTTATTTATAAGATATTATATAAGGTACTATTGCTTCTGTTTATTGAACTTAAAAACAAGAAATTCAAGCACTAAATTATAATTTGATAAACACATGAGTGCAATATTATATAAATATACTAAAACATGTTACTTGCAAAAGTTTGTGAAGACAATTATACATTAAGTTTTATACTCCAAGAACTTTGCATAAGGAATTAAAGACACTCTTTTATCCATCTTAAACAACCTAAGAAAACTCCAAAATATCCCAATAACATCTTATAAATCCAAAATAAATCATAGATACAGCTTGTTAATTCCAAAAAAATCCTTAAAAAATCTTTATCAAAACCTAAAATAAACTTTTTAATTCTAAAAAAAAATCCTTAAAAAATCCTAACAAAATTCTTATATATCTTAATAAAATTTTAATATAATTCTAACTAAATCTTAAGTTGATTGTAATTGAATTTCAATAAATTCTAATAAAATCCTAAAAAAACTAATTGAATCCTACCAAATCCTAATCAAATTCTAAAATAGTACTAATTAGACATTAACCAACCTCAACCAAATTTAAAGAAATCTTATGAAAATTCTATCTAAATCCTAAACAAATCCAAATTAAATCCTAATAAATCTTAATTAAGTTTTAAAAAATCTTTAAAATATCCTAAAAACTCCTATCAAATCTTAAAGTAATTCTGTTAGATTCTTATGGAAACCTTAATCAATACTAATTAATTTTTAACAAATATTTATTAATCCTAAATAAATTCAATATTATATTAAAATCCTTATAACTTCTTATTTAATAGTTGCTTATGCTTGAAACTTTGTACAATCTTCAATCTTATAGTTGAAAACATTTAAAAGAAATTTGAAAAGAACCATATATACCAATTAAGAAAAATGTCAAAAAAAATACTTGGGATCAAATAGCCTTCTTTCTCCAATCTTGATTTTGAGTGCTGAATTTCAATATCTCCATGAACCATCAATTTGCTCCAAAATTTTATGCAATTTTGGTTTCTATGTCAATTACTAGTTTTTTAACTTTCAATTTAATTTAACAAGAAAATTATTCCAAATCTTAGAAATCCTTATTAATCCTCAAATCTCCAATTCTAAGTATCTTAATCTACTTTAATTCCAATTTCTCTTGATTTGATTATTTATATGAATCTAAATTCATAATACGCACCTTAAATAACTATTTTTATAAATCCACAAAATTTTATTCATAGATTTTCTATAAATTTTACTTAAAATTTTAAAATATAAATTTACATTATTTTTTAAAAACTCAAGTTGCTCAAATCCAACCTTGACTTTGCATAGCTCTTATAAAGTTGTTAAAAACTCAAAATCCTTTATACCAATGGTCATATAAAACCTCTCAAGTCTCCCCATTAACTTTGTTAAACAACACTGCATCTTCTATATACACTCTTATTCCTTGTTTGTGCTCTTGAACTTGCATCAAAGTCTTGTTATTGCCATAATCCAATACTCAAGCTTCAATAAGTCTTTAGGCATCTATCAAACCATTTTCTAAGTAATTTCACTAATTTTGAAGCACCTTACAATCCAATATATTAGAAATCCTTTCTAAATGCTACAAATTAAACCACAAATAAGCAAAGAAGCATTGCTATTATTTCTATGCTTGGTTTTTTGGCAAACATATTATATATTTGTATATACTTATAAATTAAATTCAATCACTTATAATATTTATCTTTTGGTAGATTTTCTTAAATAAATCTTCACCTTTTTAAAAAAACCGTTGAATTTGATATTATTAAAATTAATATAACTTATATTATATCAAAGAATTATAAGTATTTTTATATTAAGATGATTAAAGAATTAGTATTAAAATTTTAAATACATCCTAATAAAATAATAATTAAATTTTACCATTTTCTTTCTTGTTTAAGAGGTTGCACTATTTTAATTAAGAATTATTTTAATATTCTTTTTACAACTCAATTAAAATTTATAATCTTTTGTTAATTAAAACAAAGTTTTGTTTGCATTTTATAGGTAAAAAATAATTCTTAAAAAAATATATAGGATTTTTTAATATCTCTAAATTAATTTTTAAATATGAAAAAGTATTACTAATGATTTCTCTATTTTAATTTTTATATATTACCTATAAAATAAATTGATTCTATGTATATAAAGGGCATGCATGTAACAAGTGATATGTTTTATAGCCTTAAGTTGCTCTTTTTACATGACTTTTAATATACTTATTATAAGTATAGGAAGTTGTAAAAACCACACCTCCATTTTGTTAACACCACACACATCCCCCTCCTTTGCTATATTGGGTGCTCTCCAATCCTAGAGACAAGTTACTTGTATCTTAAATTCCAATGCCCATTCACATTACTCCACATATGTGAATTAATAAATCTAATAAATCTTTTGTACCACTAATAATCTTCAAATTTTATAACCTTTTATTACTATTTGCACCAAATACCTTAAAATGAGAAAGATAGATAGGAACCAATAAAAAATAAACTAAGATTATATTGTATATCTAGAAGTATATAATATTGATTTAATAAATACTTCAATAGATTGTAGAAAAGCTGATTAGAAAAAAAAGAGAAAATAAAAGTATTCAATATTTATCTATCATTATTTTTATTAAAAAATACAAATAAATGAATACTTTTGTGAAAAAAAAACACATTTAATATATAAATAAATATATCATTTTCTTAAAATTATTCTTTTTCTCCCTACTTCATGTGAATACTAATATAGGTTAACACTATTCTAAAGTGTTAAACAAAAGGTTCTTTGAGCTTTTGTAACTTGTGACATAAATTATTTTTATTCTATTTCCATATGTAATATGTCTAATTGTTATAATTTTGATAGTATTCAAATTTCATATCAATGTATTAGTGTGTCATTCAACCAACAAAAACTAGTTTGTATTCTCATTTCAAACATTATAGTAAAATAAAATAAAATTTTAATGAAATTCAAAAAGTTGTTGCTAATAAAAGTAGTTTCTCGTGAAGATTGAGAATAGGGGTTTGGAAATGGGAATTAGGATACAGTGAGTGAATCATGAGATGGCAAGAGGGGGGGGGTGTATGGCATTAACAACTCTCTAAATATACATATATATATATATATATATATTAATGTTTATAAATATACTTATAAATATGGATTCATAAATTTTTGTACTAAGTATAATCCATATTTATCTTTTTTGATGTTTATCAATTTAATTTTAATTTTTTATAATAATTTTAGTCTCAAAATAATTTCAAATCATTTAACATAACTTCAACAAAAATCATTATCTTTCATATCAATAATAATAATAATAATAATAATACATTAAACATGAATGTTGGAAATTAAATTAATAGAATAATATGATATAAACCTCACAATTACATATATATATATATATATATATATATATATACACATTATTTTTTATTTTTTTTATTTGTGCAGTTTTAAGCTCTAATGTCTATCTAAATATTAACACTAAAATCAACTATAAGTTACTCAGTTTTGTTTGTATGCTAGTACATGTAATTCAATGAATTATTAATCCAAAAACATAAATGCACCTTTCTTGGAAACTTCAAAAAATCCCCCAACAAATGTGCAACTAAAGACATCAAACCAGTTATCAAATGGAATGCATGCACCAGATTTTTTGAACAATGTTACTGGAAGAATATCCATTACAAACAACTTAGAGAGCTTTAAAAATAACTTCTCATGAAAATTTAAAGAACTGACATTGTGATGTTTTGAAGTGGTGCACATAATATCTTGAAAGTTAGATATTGGAAAATGTCCTGCAAACCTTAGCAGGAGAGTCAAAACGTAACTTTTAGTGTTTACACCAGGAATAAACAGTTACGGAATTGGTTATAATCGTTGTATGCATCGAGGCCCCTTTCCTGAATTTACTTTACAGTTTAAGCATTAGATACCTTTTTCCTAAAATCCTGGCTGTTTCTATGTTAAAGAAGACTTCAGACTCGGCACCAGTGGAATTAACACACCGACATGATTCTTAACAGCCAACAGCTATTCACGTGTACCATCGCAGAGTAATACCTGACTCAAAACGGAGCTGGAAAACATTTCAGCAGAAAGATACTACAGCTAAATAAGTCGAAAAAAAGAAATGAAATTACAACGAGACAGCAGCGACAAAATTATTACAGGAAACTTAAACTACTAAAGGGACCTTCCGTTGCAAGAAGATAGTGATAAGTGGTGAACTCTAAACCCTAAACCCTAAACCAATAGCAAAACACTATTTACAAATAGTGTAAAAGGAAGTTGATCGCATGCTCCTTCAATGACAGGCGCTACGCATGATAACAATCCCCGAAAGAATCACAGGTTTCTGGCCAACAAGAATAACTTCAGAAACCTTCAATAGAAGGAAGTTGACTGTAAGAAAGGTAGCCATCTGGAAAACTAGAGCTAGCTGCTGAAGTCGAAGTATTTAGGATTTGCCGGTGAATCATACTCAACTTGTAGCTGCAAAACCACCTCTCACTCAGAAAAAAAGAAAAGAAAAGAAAAAGAAAAACAGCCAAATTCCGACTTAAGTCTAAAAGCCAGAAAAGTACACAAAAATCATCCTGCTAAGATGCAATCCCAGTTATTAATCAAAACCTTCATGTCTGGCCCCTAAAGGAGGAGAATCAATTATCATTGCCGTTTAATGCTGGCCGGTAACGAAGATTTACCAAGTGCATCCACAGAATTCGGCATCTTGGAATCCAAAACGATACAAGTAAACAACCACAAAGCATCTTAGCTGATACACGCCAAACATAATGAAAAAAAATAAACAATAATACTACCTTAAATTTAATAGGTTCCACAACGAAAATGAAAGAATGCCTTACCTTGCCCTCATCCGCATCGGAATGCCGTTGCGGGAAGATAACACGCAAATCTCCATAAATGTAGAAACGCTTATCTTCTAACACCTTCGTAGCCTTCACACCCTTTGGAGGCGTTGTTCTAACCTGTGTTCTTTGTATTTTGTCCTTCTCATTATTTCTAATACGTGGGCACATAAACCTCAAATGAAGTGCATATTTTAAAGCACCGCCCGTGCCTTCGCCAGCTTTGGAACTTCCTTTTGTACCACCGAGCCCATCAAGGTTTGGCAAACTTTTCCTTCTCGAATCAGGAATTCGTCCATCTTGATTACCTCCTTCAGCAAAATCTTGTTCGAAGATTGAATTACCTGCTTTGTTTTCTAGACTCTGTAACATAAGAAAACTATTTTCCGCAAGAGGACCGACTTGGTCTGGACATTTCATAACTACAGAAGATCCAGACTTTTCAAATGTGTTCGAGTGCATGTGATTGCAACCCAAAGCATTAACGCCAGCACCAACCCTGTGTTCTAGCGGTTCGGTTTCGTCTATGACCACATTATTAACTCCAGGGCAAGGTTGTGCCCCACATTCACGACCTTGCCAATAATTGTTGCCGAATAAATCTGCAGAAACTCCTCTGGAGCACATTGAACTACTGAACTTGGAAAAGCTGCAACGACCATCTCCGGAGGGTTCAGAAAGCCTACTCAAGCGAGAATCTGGAACTGTTCTGCGACATTCTTTTCCAGGAGTTGTGGGGCACGCGTCCGATGCTAATGAGACCTTATGCCGCAGAAATGTCTACAAAACAAATATCATCATCTCAGAGACTACGTCTTAGTGTTTGTTCGTGAAAACTATATTTATTAGTAGTGAAAGTGCAAGATGACCACATATTACTAGCTTCAAACTCGCTGAATGATCTGGTCGATCATGCTTCCAGAAGCAGCGTTGAATGAAGGAGAAAACAATGGCACGATCAAAGAAAAATGTCCAGCCCGTCCAAATAAATACATAATACTTAGTCATACTAAGATTGAAATGACACACTTGCATACAACCACAGCCATCCATTAACGTGCTGTTATCAAGCAAATATAACGCGTTGAGCAATCCCAAACAAATTCTCTTTAATATCAATAAAAACGTACCTTTGTACCAGGTGGCATATCCGTCAGGTCGTAGCTACATATGAAGGTATGCACAGGAGTCTTCTCTGGATTGCTTAAGACCTATTCAGACATACTTTCACTTAATTAGTTTCCTGGAAAAACAAACCGGAAATTAAGAGAATGACCGGAGAACGCAATTAATTGTGCGCTTTAAAAAGCAATCAGAAAATAAATTTCATTCATGGACCTACACAAAACATGTTAGACGTCGTGAGAGATTCCGTACCAATTGAACACGCCCTTTCACAGGTATCTTGAAGCGGGCTTTGGTGGGACTCTTAATTGATTTCGCCTCAGGAGTGCCGGCCAAATCTATAGAGGCAAAATAGGGTAGCGAACTATCTCCATTTACGCACATGACCGAAAAGGGTAGCTTCTTAACAGGTGGCGGCCAGCTACCACCCGTGACACTCAGCAATGCCAGGAATCCATCCAGCTTCTGCCCAGCGTTAACCATTTCAAACAACATCAAGGTCACTAATCAATTATTCACCTCAATTAACTACGACTATTCTCGACACAGAGCAGATGGTTTTCTGCAATACTACACTAGAAAATCACTTCAAAGTGAAAATAAAGGGAGATGAGTTAGAATTTTACCTGGCTCACTTTACCAGCCAAAAACCGTCCAGAAAGAAGTGACTCTTCGAAAGAGCCAACCAATGAGCGCCTACTAGGAACGCCAAGCGACCCAATGACGCTCTTTTGAGGGGCAGATAAAGATTCAAATCCCCAGATACCCGCACGTTGATGCTTCAGAAAATTCCCAGACGATGGAGATTGATTATCATGACAAGAATTGTCAAATGAACCTTCTATTACACTTCCGACAGCTTCCTCTTCAGTCACGGGCTCACCACGATAAAAGTCTGAGATCCACTTCGATTGACGCTGGGCAGGAATTTGCAGGCCGCTCACAATACTCCTGGCACAGGAAGGATTGTTTTGTACACTGCCCACATCCAAGGATGCTGCTGATGCTGAAGAGGACAAGCGTGGTCCTAAGGGTGATAAAGGAGTAGGGAGTATTCCTGGACGTGCAGATCGAATACTCTGAATAAAACAATTCGAATTTACGGACAACAAATTGCCCCCGACACCATTTACATCTAGCTTTCCTAAAAGCTCTTCAGACACCGTCTCCTTGTGAGTCAAGCCTAATTCGCCCGTTTCAATGGTAGTTCGTACAGGCCCATCAGTTTGCACTGATAGCTGTTGGCCACTACTTCGGATTTGGTAATTTCTATCTAGCTGTAGAGAGACAGGAACTTGGTCCACTGCGAGGCTACCAGTCTGTTCATCCTCATCCACACCCTTAAAGTCTTGATCATTTGAGCTCCCATAATCTAATACTTCACTAGTCTGACCAGATGCCAGCAAGTCGGTAAGAGAAGACGAGGTCTTCTTGCGAGTACTGTGTAGCCCAATGTCACTACCCCCTGTTTGTCGGCTGCTGCTGCTGCTTTGAGAGAAGCCAAACATTTCATACTGCACAACAAACGAAACCAAATTCGATTCATTTAGAACAATTTTAGGTGATTGTGCAATTAGATTAGTGTCCCTAGGAACTAACATTGCGTAAGGTACAAGACGGAAGCACCTTTTCACACCGGCTTGGACCATCAATAACGAAACTAGATTAGCTAACTTCAGGACAGCAACACAAACTTTGTCCCAACATATTATTGTTCAAACAAAATGGTCAGAAGCAACGACTTTCAAGACCTTCAAATAACCTGTCGAAAAGATGTGCTAACAAACATCTCTTTCTCTCACTTAGCCTATAAACGATATCGTATCATTCGACATAGAAGGCCACCAGAATACAATCTGAGCGACATTTAATGAAGTCTTTTACTCAACATTGAGGCCTTGAGGAGCACATCCATTTCTCACAAGCAATAAACAAAAGTCAGCAAATGCAGCATATTTACATACTGACCTGCGAAGTGCCAGCATTGTCACCCACACTTTTCGAGGTTGCGACATGCGACGCAGTTGATGATTGTGCCTCAAATCCTACGATAATTGACGTTGGAGTTCGGGCCACTGAAGCACCTTTCTGTCGACGATACAAGTTGTTCTCCAACACACCAGTCCAGATAGCTGGTTGGTCACTTGCATTTGCCTTGGAGTTACACAGAGGATACTCCCAGAGGGAATTACTTTGAACATCACTAGTGCCATCTAAGTGAGAATTCGAACCCCCTTCAAGCCTACTAGTGCACTCATAGTAATCTGATACTCCACTTTTGCTTGTTCTTTGGTCGCCAATCACACCTCTGCTGTGGGTTGCAGCAACATTATGATTAACCACTTCTTGAGACTCCCGATGGGTGTTGGATGCTTTTTTGCCATTGTAGCAAGAAGTCGCAGTACCAACACTGAGAAGAAATATCTCTCCTGGCTGAATATCATCTGCTGCATTACTGGATGGTCCAGGCAGCCCCATGATTTGAGAAATCTTCAATATCAAATTAGTAAATTTCTAAAAACGCCGGCTCCCTTCAGCTCATCTTGTACAGTGAAAGCATGAAGATTGTCACCAAAATGCCTGGACGAGCATCTCTTCGAAGCTACGCTCAGAACCTCTAAGTACGTTTAATGAGGACGCCTTAAGAGAGAGATGAGCAAAGAACTTGTATGCGCACTCCAGCCCATCAACTTGCCTGCGCTAACAATTCTTCGTCTTATTCCGGAGATCTTCACACCACTCTCGAATGCACTTGTTTAACATCACAATGGACAAGATATTTGACTCTTCCTGTCACATTGCAATTATATTGTGAAGGACAATTACAAAATATAAATTCCCTAACACTGATCAGTACGCATAGAAAAACGTACGTAACACAGTCTAACGCTACTTCTAGTGCGGATTATCAACAGCATACATCTAAGACATCCAGCCACAATGCTATCCACCTGCAATTAGTAAATAATGTAGGGATAGCAACAGTAGCAGAGCCCATTATACTACATGGCCTAAAAAATATTAATTATTATGTTCCATACCATCATATGAATGAAGTCAGAATGACAGTAAATTGTTTCGTAATTCAGAAGTTAAACAGAAAAAATCAGAAAATTTGTGCTACACTGAAATTGCTATCAAAGAGTTCTGTCCTGGAGAATTGCCTTGACAAGAAAAACGTCTGAAAACCGGCTAAAAGGAATTGGAACTTGATCATATTAAAAAGATTCCCGACAAGCCACGATCCAAGGAGTCATCCCTTATTGCAACGGTGAACACCTACCACAAAGGTGCGCCAAATGACGGTCCAAGGAAGATTCCATGAAGCATTAGTGTCCCAGACCTCAGGCATTCACATGCTCAGTAAGCTATCGTGTAAATCCACTGAGCATACACCTTGCTGCTGCAAATCGCACTACTCTTACGTGACAAGTCTGAGACATGCACTTTGAGGTTAAGAGAATGAGGTACCTCCATCTTCTAAAAGCATTGGACATCCTCATATTTGGTTCTCTCTGCTATATTGTCTGTAAGAACAATACCCAGGGCGAAAACAACGGAACTCCATAACTCTTATCACTGTCATATCACCAACCTTTCATTTGCTGTGGTTTCGAGACATACGAATAGGTGAAAGGAAGTGAGTCCAGCAATATTTAGCAGAATCCAAGCTTCAGGACTAAATTTTCTTTTGAGAAAACATCGATAAACCTGATTGGAGTCTAATGGGAAACACACAACCCATTCGTGCCCAACGATACCAAATCCAACGTTTCAGCAGCCCTGAATTGTTCGAGTAAAACCGAGCCTGCTGGCACGCATGGAACAACATGCTCTTGCGTCACCTAGATAGAAATCCATTATCTAACTCCAGAATCACAAACCATGACTCTGCAGGTGGTCCTGGAGCTCTGATGTACCACACACAGTCCAAATTGGCAATACCAGAATATGGGGACTTACGCGTAATAGAAAAGATAGACCCTCACTTGTGCCAAGAAACTAAACTCTTGGCAAAATTCTTTCCTCCTCAAAAGCTATCGCACTCAAGGATTATGTTTTGGCTCGACCTTCAGCTAAACGTAGCAAGTAGAAACTCCTGAATAGACACAACAATAAAATTATAGCAGCCTCCTTTCATATCACATGGAGGAACTCTAGAGAATAACACTTCGATATACCTCCAGCAAAGAGATAGAGGATAAGAAAATTCTATCAGGAAATGAAAAAATGGGTGGCAAGTCTCTCAGGTTCTCATCGTTAACCTCGTTCAAAGAGCCCCCCGCAATTCTATCGACCCATGTTAATCGCAGGAGAGACTCATACTAGGATGCTGGGCTCAACTCAAATGGAGAAGAAAGAGTCGATGAATGCACAAAATCGACGTTAACCATCACGAGAATGAAACCTAACCTAAACGTACGAGACAATTTTCCACGATGGAATCCGGGGTTCAGTTCTCGCGACCTCTTCAACAATTCAGGATGTGGAACCAATTCCACATTCGATTCCTCAAAACAGATTCAGAATGGGGACGGCTTCTTCTCCGGCAGAGTGACTTAGACAATAAGGAAGCGTTCAACATCCCGAGGAGGAGAAGACAAGCACCTCGACAACGCTCTGCCACAAATCCCCTTAAAGAAGGTCCAACAGCAATTCACTCCAGGTCGGGAAAACGGGAACCAGCGGGAACTCCAGTCCGTCATTGCAAGGAGCATAAATCACTCCCACGGAGACAGACAGAGCGAGAGAGAATGAGCGAGAGAATGAGAGAGACAGAGAGAGAGAGCATGAAACGAAGAAGGAAAGAACGAAAGAAAGAAAGTTCGCCCACACGCCACCTCACACGACAACAACAACAGCAACAACAACACCACCCCCTCAACCTGGACGGACGGACAGACGGTATCCCCCCCTCCCCTCCGGGAATGAATGGAAATGAATGGCGTCCTGCGACAATCATTATAAAAAAATTATAATCTCTCTCTCTCGCTCTGCAAATAATAATTATAAAACCAATACCAAAAGTAATAAATAAAACACATAAGAAGCCGAGGACACCACCATCCAGATCCAACGAGTGAAAGTTAGTTATCCACACTCCTCCTCCGTAAGAAAAACCAGAAAGCAACCAAGTCCGCCCCCTTCAGAAACAGATCTGGCCTCACTCTGCCCAGTCTCCCTTCCCTTCCCCTTCCTTGGGTACTCCCTGGCTCACTCCAGCGCCATCTCCACTCCATTTGCATTCTGCCCTTCTGCCTTGCAATTAACATCCCCTCACTATCAACACCTGTAACTAACTAACTACACTACAATTTCTTATTCTACTGCATTCTCTCTACGTATGGCAGGGTAACACTCTCTTAAAAACAAAGAAAGAAAGAAAGAAGCACATGACCGCCGAATCCAACTCTCACTAGTCCATGCTCAAGGTGTACTAAAACATGTATACACACACAACAGATATATATATATATATATATATATATATGTATAAAATCTTGAAAAATGAACATAATAACCAAATTTAACATCAGCCAACAACAAACTATTTAGTCATTTATATTACTAACGATTATAAAAGTATATGCATATATTTTAAATAAATTTTATTTGTAATTATTAAAATAATTTTAAAAGTAAATATGAGAATAAATAAATAAAAACACCATGTATCAACTAAAGTAATCCTAGTTTTGTCAATTCAAAAGTAAATAATACAAAAAATTATTTATTTACATCCACCATCTATGTAAGAAGACAAATTTTGTTTTATTTCAAAGATCCTTCTATCTTATCAATATAATGAAATATCTTAGGTATAATAAAAAGACATAAAGAAGCCTTTTCATTGGCGAAAGTCATAGAAATTGTTGCTATGAGGTTGCTATGAATTGTTCTCAACTTCCAATCATTTTATCTTCAAACTAAAACCACCAGCAAAAAACACTACATACATGTCTTTATAATCATATTGTATTTCATCTACAATTAATTAGATTATCCAATTTTAAAAAATATAAGTTTTTTGTATTTAACAACATTATAAGTAAGAGACATGAAAAAATAAAATAATATGTTTAGATCAAAATTGATAGAAAAGAATTTGAAGAGGAAGATGTAGCACAAAGCAATCGATTAATTTGTGGCAATTATATAAACCTTCTCAAAACCAATCTAAGCTTGTCAATTGACAATTTATTAGACAACACAGACAAATAGCACATTAATATGTTTTTTTCAATCTATCAAGGGCAAGAACTTGATGAAAGCAAATAAACAAGTGAAACTCTCTCAAAGAAATATGAAAAAATAGAAATAGAGAAGTATGTATATTAAAAAAGAAACTAAAAAAGCTATTGCCAGAATACAAGAAAATTAAAAACTCTTGAAACTAGACTAAAAGCAAGAAAAGAATTGACAAGAGTGAAGAAAGCTTCACTCTTACCTCTATATATACTATCTACTTAGGATCTATGTGACAATGTTCTATAGGACCTCTATAAATGTGTTCACTTAGCATGACACATATCTTAACTTACAAGGCAAGTTTTTTATATAGACATCACATAATTAGCTTGTTCAGAAGCTACTAATATGTGTGGCACATGATTAGTTTATTGACCAAGTTTCTAACCTATCAATCAACTACAAATACATGTAAAGTCAAAATAGCCTCTACGATGCTTCTAAAAAGCTTTTCTAGAAGATATTATCAAATTAATTTACTTTTACTTATTTTTATCTATTCAAATTTTCTAAGTAAAAATTATAGTAGATATATATCCATGTCATTATCTCCTTTTCTAGAAACAAGTTCTACAAAGAGCAGTAATCACATATTGAGGAAGTCTAAGATGTAACAAATTATATTTGCCACGTACTTTGATCTTTCTTTTCTTCAAAGATAATTGATAGGTCTTCTTAGCTATTGGTTAAGTTCCATTCCAAAGTAAGAAGATCACCTTATTATTTGATTATTTTTGAAACCTTTATAACTTCCTTCAAACAAAACATTTGTAACACTATGATGAATAATTTCTACCTCTAATAAAATCACCAAACATTGAGAGTCTCTTCCTAGGTTGTGATACTAAAGGCATCATATCTCACCATCTATTTGAAGAAGAGTATGTTGTTCTTAAAGGACTTCATCTCTATTATATCATCTTGAATGCTATAATAATTGCAATATCTTGTCCAATGTCATATTACATGAAGTCTTGCTTAAGAATGTACCAAGCACCTAGTTGTGGAAGGTACAAGAGAAATTGTAACAATAAGATCTTAACAACTTCAATAGAATCTTAAATAAATTTCAATTAAACCTTAATAATGTTAATCAAGCTTCAATCAAATTTAAAAGAAATCTTAAAGAAATTACAAAAGAAACATGAAAAAATCCTAAAAAAATATTAAAAATATCTTCAAAAAATATTAAATAAATTCTAATCAAATCATATTTTAATCATAATTGAAACTCAAATAGATCTTAATTAAATCTTGGATCAAATCCTAATCAAATCTTAAATCCTAAATCAAACCTTAGATAAACTTTGAGTCCTAAACAAATCTTAAATCCTAAATCAAATCCTACATAAATCCTAAATCTTAAATCAAATCCTATAAAAAACTTAAACCTTAAATCAAATCTTAAATAAATCCTAATTCTTAAAAAATTCTAAATCTTAAATCAAACCTTAATCAAAACCTAACCAATTCAAATGAATCTTAGGATAGATTAGAATCTCAATATCTATTGATTAAACTATTGATCTTGCTTCAAATTTTACCTAACTTTCAACCTCTTAGTTAAAAATAAGTACAACAAATATGAAGATAATTGCACATACCAAATAGAAGAAAAATCCTAAAATCTATTTGAATATTGATCGGTCTCCTACTCCAATCTAAATATTAAACTTTCAGTACCAATATCTCTTTTTTGAATTATTGAATTTCTTCCAAAATTCACTTAAACTATTGAAAAGCAAGTCTAGGCTCTATACAAAAAAAAAATTAATACAATTGAAAAATTGCTAAAGATCTTAAATATACTCATTGAATCTCAAACTCCCATTTCTAAGACTTCAATGCCAAAAACCTTCACACACTTTGATCTAATTATTTGATTGATTTTAAAATTTGCACATATACTTAAAACTAACACACCAATATTCTATCTAAAATTTAATTTTATACATACCATAGAACTCAAGAAACCATCAAATATTTAAACATAGATTTATTTCTCAAAATCTAAACCAACTAAGAACATTATTAATTTTAAAATTCTCTTAAAAATTGAATATTAACTCAATTGATATAAAACCAATGTTCAAAAATCTCTTTACAAGTTTTTTCTCAAATCTTACTCTCTAATCTATTAAATAACTCTAAAGTCACTATAGATATGTAGTCTTGTGCTTTAAGGCTTGATTTTGATCCAAGTTGACAATTGATCTTCTTTAAGTATTAATTCTTGACTTCTTGAAATAAATTTGCTAAAATCTACTTTTAATTTCTTCTTATAAATACCTATATTATTTTATTTTCTAATCTACTTTATTTTTCTTTATTTATGATCCTACAAAATAAAAAGAAACCTATTTCATAGAAAAAGGTAGTAATGGTACCTTTAGTTTTACTATCTTTTTAACTATTACCTATTTTTTAAGATAATTTGATATAATATTTTAAAATAAGATTTTCTAAAATATAATAATTTTTTTCAATCATTACTGTGTTATATCATGACATCAAAAAGTCATCAAATGATGGCTTTTGAATTGAATCCGCTAGCTATTAATTCTCCATCTCCTTAATGCCATAATTATACAAAAACTACAAATAATGATAAAAGGTAGAATGCAATCATTTCTAAATTGTGTTTCTTGTATAGCAAAGATTTGCTATTCTTTATCTTGATTTTCATGGATGTAGTTGATGAAAAGCTTTGACTTTCTTTGCTATAATTGTAAGATTTTTTGCTAGCTCTCATGTATATTTATTAATATCATATCCATGCCAATGAATAAGATATTTTAACATATGTAGCACCTCATTGAGTCGAAGACTTCTTCTATCTCAATTTCTTTATTATTATCCACTTCTATAAGAGACGGTGGTATTTCTCTTCTTTTTGAGATATTCACTATCTTATATGGCTCTAAAAGAGATACGTGAAATATGGAATGGATTTTCATAGATTCTACTAAATATAATCAATAAGCAACTTAATTGATTTATTTACAAATAGAAAATAGTCTAAGTCTACAATAATCTAATTTGTGACAAGAAAAAATAGTTTTAATATTACGACAAAGTAATTATATCTTATCACCAATGTAGAAATTAAAGAATATATCAGGTATGTATTAAGGAAGGAGATGAATGGAAGACAATATTTTGCACTAGGTATATACATTTTAAATACAATGTCATACCTTTTGGACTTATCAATGCACCAGTCATATTCCAACATTTAATGAATAACATATTTTTTGAGCATCTCAATGACTTTATTGTAAACTATTTGGATGATATTCTAATCTTTTTCAAGAATCTAGAAGACCATAAAAAATATGTCTTCTTTTTTTTTGGAAAAGCTACAAAGGGCTAGGCTGTATATAAAATTAAAAAAGTATATATTTCATGTACCTCAAGTCAAATTTGTTGGATATATTATTTCCAACAAAGATCTTTTTATGGATCCAAAGAAGGTACAAGCAATCATTGATAAGGCAAAGCCAAAAACTATACGTGATGTTTAATGCTTTCTTCAATTTAATAATTTTTATAAGATTTTTCTTAGGAATTACTCCAAGATTGCTTCTCCACTTATTGTCATGGACATACACATGTAAGCCAATAATTATCTATATAAATAGGTAGAAGTAAAT